ATTTAATTTGCGCCAATTTTTTCCCAAAGCTCCTTTTTTTTTTTTTTTTTTTTTTTGAAAAAAACAAAAAATATTAGCCACTGAAAAATTCAAGATGGTCGCTGCCACGGCTGTCAAAGAAAATTTGCCAATATTTATCACAAATGAATCTTTCGGTGTCAAATCAGACTCAACTGGACCCGTAGAAATCATATTTACTGATTCTATTTTTTATTTTATTTATTTTTTTCCCAACATGCCTGACATGAAAAAATTATTTTTGCACTAGAACCACCAATGAATGTGTTTGGTGTCAAATCGTAGCCTAAATGTTATAATCCACAGAAATCAGATTTGTTCTCTTGAACTTGTGTTTTCTTTTTCAGGTGGCCGACAAAATGGCCGACATTAGTTTCTTTGGAGACTATATAATATATATATGTTGGCAGTCGTTAGCGCACATCTAACCAAAAAGCTAGCAACAAGGATCTTAGCTCTGCTAATGCTAAATCGCTAAACACATTTAAAAATTTTATGAAAGCTAAACAAGAAGATGACTGTCTCTTTGTCTGTTGCACATCTTCATCTCCTTCCAGTCGTCCATTAGTGTGAGACTTCATCCGAGTCATGAAAACATTTAGCATTTTATGACAACAGTTGGTTTGAAAGGATAAAAAAAAAAAATGCGGCCATCTTGAAAAATGGCAAGCATGCACATTTTATCCTGGTATTCACACTTGAAAGATTTTTTTCAGTAACATGCTGCACTGCTTGTACAGAACAGCTTTGTTTTCAGTCACATGTCTCAAAATAAACTGCAGCTGCCTCACAGATTTGGCGAGAACAAGCTGATGCAATAAATTTGCATATTTTTCCGATTTCCCAAATGTTTGTTGGTTCCCTTGGGGAATAATAGAAGTCACAGACTGATGTTTGTTTGCGTCCCTCCCGGTAATATATTAATTTCACGCTCAATGTAGAATGCAACGTTTCAGAGCTGCCATGTTGTCTTCTCACCAGCATATTACTGCGGGAAGAAGAAGAGCAAACGTGTCGGCCGCCCACCTGGTGGTCACACCAACCTGGAGGGTGGAGTGAAGAGGAGGGGCCGCAGGAGGAAGAGGAGGAAGCAGCTCTTCGTCCACAAGAAGAGGCGCTCCTCGGCATCGGTGGACAACACGCCTGCCGGCTCCCCACAGGTAAAGGAAACGAGCATTTTCCATCAGTTCTGGGAATGATCGCACGCTTGTCCCGACACACTTGTGCTCATCTCGACCCACAGGGCAGTGGAGAAGAGGAAGACTTGGATGAAGATGACTCCCTGAGCGAGGACACCGGCTCTGAGCTGCAGGACGACCTCCAAGATGACTCTGAGCAGTCTGTCGAGAAATCTCAGCCCGCCACGCCGTCGCCCTCCCCGCCGCCGACACCCAGGCCCTCACGGAGACGGCGGAAACCCCGCTCGCCTTCCTTCTCCGATGACGAAAACCACCCTCCTTCACCCAAGGTGATGAGAATAAAAATACAAAAAAATTGTCTACTTCCAGTGTTCAGTTATCTGAAAAATTGAAAACCCGGGTGCCGATCTCACCAAGTTACAAACAACACATTTCTGTGTCTTCGCTGGGATTTCAGGAGATAGAACTAAACGACACAGAATAATTCTGAAGTTGGAACACAATAATAAATACATTTCATGCTTTTTTTTTTTTTTTTTTTTTACAAATTAAAATCTGAAAAGTGTGTAGTTTATGGACCTGTCTGTGCTGAATTAGCGCATTCCCACAGCATGATGCAGCCACCACCTTTTTTCACAACAGGGACGGCGTATCGAGGATGACGTGGAGTCGTTTGTACATTTCTTTTTTCAGAAAAATTAACACTATTTCAGTATCCCACATACTTTGAAGTTAGCAAAACAAAACAACCTCTAGTTACCACTTGAAAGGCACATTCTCAAAAGTTTTCCAGATAACTAGTGTGACTAAAGTGTTATTTCATGTCGAAAGTGTGTACATTCAGTGCCATTTTTTTCCAGCTGTGTGAGATCTCGGCCTGACTCTCCGTATCTGTGTTTCTCCAGACATCAAAGGTCGAGCCTCCTCAGAAGCTGTGTCTGGACACGAGCCCGCTGGAGTGGAGCGTCTCTGATGTGGTGCGCTTCATCCGGACCACTGACTGCGCACCTCTCGCGAGGATTTTCTTGGATCAGGTAGAAAAAAAAAAAAAAAGAAAAAAAAAAGCCGGGATACACGGCCCCCCACAGGTTTCAACTAGCTTCACATCGGATTTTAGCTTCAGAGGGGCGATATCAGAAATGACGCAGAAGTTTCATCTCGCGTGGAAAATGTGTGTTTGCAGGAGATCGACGGTCAGGCCCTTCTGCTGCTGAACCTCCCGACGGTGCAGGAGTGCATGGACCTGAAGCTGGGACCGGCCATAAAGCTGTGCCACCACATCGAGAGGGTCAAGCTGGCGTTTTATCAGCAGTTCGCCACGTAGTCCATGGGGAAAGTTAACGGGACATGGCTGCTTCCTGCTCTACGAATTAATCCTGTAAAAATGTGGAAGAAGTTTTATTTAAAATAGATATTTTTTTTTTATTTCATTTTGTCAAGTTTTGTTTTTTTGTTTTTGTTTGTTTTTTTACACTGGACTTTTTTTTGTTTTGTTTTTTTTTTTTGGCTTTTTTGCATAAATCGCATTCTTTCAGATGAGCTTGGATCTTACGAAGTGAGAAAGCGACATAAAGAGAGAAGAGGGAAACAAAACATTTCACGCATTCAAGAAGAGAATGAGAGACACATTAATGACACAAAGAGGCTCTAAGTCGGAGGAGCGTAAAATCCATCAAATCGGACGATGTCAGAGTTAGACAATTACCTGCCGTCAAGCTCCAAGCAGCCGTTTTGCATTTTTTCATCTTGACCTTCTGCCTTCTGAGTGTTTCGGTTCCAACCTGCATTTGGTTTTTATAGTGAGATTGCTTCTGCTTACAGAGACTTCTTTGATAAAAAAAAAAAAAAAAATTCAATATTCTTTGTGCATAGAACAGGCTTAAGTGTTAGCCATTAAAAAAAACAAACAAAAAAAACTTCTTTCTCAAAACATCTTTAAACGGAGAGATTACAGGTGGTGCTGTAAAGGAAACTAAAATGCATTGAAATCTTTGTGACGCAAGTAAAAGATGCAACACTTTCAAAGTGCCGGCTTAGCTTTCTCAGAAATGAGGCCCGCTGCTGTTCCAATTAACAGCCAGACACGACATTCAATATGAAAAATAATGAGTTATTTTTTTATAATGAAATTGTTCAAATGTTGGTGGTTTTGTTCCTACAAAGACCAAATTTGTTCTTCCCACACAGTCGGAAGACCGGTTCGCTCCGAGGGTTCTGCAATGCAAGCACAAGCGAAGCAAGGCACTGAATGGCGATGTAGCCCCAGTGCATGTTTGTACATAGTGTACATAATTAAATCTTTTAGTAAAACAGGGTGATTTGGACAAAAGAATTCTGCGTAAGCGACATGTAGATGTCCAAAAGCATACAGAATATTTGCACAGAACAGGCCTCCAACCTTCACGAGAGGAGAGTATGATTTTGTTTCGGAAGCAGGTGCGGTTTGTCATGTTGGAGTCATTTTTAGCTAACAATTGGCAGCTCTACAATACGACGATGATCACCAGAAAATGCTTCTGTAATTCGCCGTTTCATGTAGTTTGAATTTGTACACGCTTCATTTTATGCCCTCCATTCTTTAATTTGCTTGTAGGTTCCTGTGTTCTCAGAAAAGCAGAACAAACGTGCGTGTTGTGTAAACAAAAATGAAATACTGCAATAAAGATCGATGAGCCCGGGTAGTCTGTGGTCATTTCACTTCTTTGATGTTTGGGCTTTTGTGGTTTTGGCAAGACTTTTTTTTTTTTTTTTTTGAAGCAGTTAAGTAATAAAACCTTATTTAAAATAATAAATACCAAAACTCAGCTGTGAAGAGACAGGAAAAATTGGCAGATTTTTCTCACATTCTGACGCTCCCCACACCTCGACTCAGCTGTGAGGTGCTTCTCCAACAACATGTCAGAATCAGCTTTATTGATCAAATCTGTGTACGCTAACAACGGAATTAGACAAAGTATAAATACATAAAATTTAGAGGAATAAATAAACAATATGTACATGTATTTGTAGCCATTATTTTTGGAAATGTATGGCATCACTATGGTAGCAAAAAACGTTTTTAAAAACATGATAAATAAGGAGTAATCAAAACCTATCAAAATTGGTGTTTATTTTCTTATTCTTCCATGTTTATGTGACGGGAGAGGAAAATATACGACAGGTACGACAACAGAAGCAACAGCGCCTCCTACAGTCAATTTAATTTACAAAAACAAATCTAAGTTTCTGCATATCTCATTTTGGCCGTTTCATATATCCTCTCCACACAAAAAACTGCTAATATAAGATGACTAATTTGATTTCTATAAAATAAAATAAAATATCACTTTAGTTCTCATTTCTGAAGCGCACAACAGTAAAGATGCTTCAAATAATCAAAACATACACATGATATACATACATCATATTATAAATGCTTTTAAAGTGTATGAAATATTCATTAATTTCCACTTTTCATTAATTATAGATTTTGTATATGTATATAAACTTTTATTTTTATGAACTTTTATTTGTTTGGTCATCCAAAAGTTCGTGTCTATTTTAGTGATCACACGTACAATTATTTATTTCACTATTTACTGCCCTCTCACTTCCATCTCTACTGCACAAATGACCCACAGCCACACTCTGTGGCACATTTCCCAGCATGCAGCTCGTGTGGCTCAGGTCACGTGACATCGCCTGTCAACAGGAGCGGACGCTGCTGGGCAGGGAAGCAGCTGGATGTGTCCGAGCTATTATTTTCCATTTATAAAAGTCTCTTTTTCACGGACTTTTCTAAGCGCCATGAGCGACAGGACAAGTTCCGCGTTTGACGTAAGAGAAAGTTCAACTTCGCTAGCTTAGCATTAGCTCAATTTAAATGGATAGCGTGGATAGACGCTAACGCTCTAAGTGCTAGTAGCAGTAGCGGGACCGCTTTTGACTCCGAACGGGAATTTTTTATTTTTTTTTACTCACTTAATGCTGTCTGACCTACTACGTGACTCAGGTTAGAGGGGCTATAACTGCGGGGTTTATTAGCTACATGGCACACATTTAGCCACCAGAGTCCGTTTCGACGCAGGTTGAGGAAACAAACATGCTGTATCCTGCACAGACCTCCCGGAGCATCTGTTATGGCTTTCTAATGTTGCAACTTCTTGTTCAGACAGCTTCACCTCTCGAATGACCGAGCAGCTATGGCCGAGCGGTGCGGAGCAGGAGAATGAGTGCAAGCCTTCGAAGAGGATGCGACCGTGTTTCAGCGAGGACTGCCCAGCTTGACATACCCGCCAGCTGACAGTTACCGGGCAGAGACCTGGCTCTCGGTGGGGAGAGTCAATTCATCGAGTAGAGCGGACCGGATAACTCTGCTGCAATGGCTGCTGTGAGCGGAGGAAACACTCTGGCAGCCGGTCCGGGAGGCGCGGTGTCTGCGGCCAACGCGTCCTCCAGCCCGGCCCCGGGGGAGAAAACTCGGCACTGCGAGAACGGCGACCTGATGGACTCCTTCGGGATCTTCCTGCAGGGCCTCCTGGCCGTGATGGCTTTCAGCACGCTCATGTGTGAGTATGATCCAAAAAGCTGCTGCGTGTCGGATATCCGACACCGGGCTGCTGGAGGAAGCCGCCTTTATCCAATCGCACAACTGGATTAACCCAATGCTGTATTGATCTCAGCTGGCAGGCAGCATGAACATGGGCTCCCCAAAGGAGACACACAAACGAAATCAAAGCATCCCCACTTCACCGTAACACTTCACCTCGCCCATGGTTCCTGTGTAAATGTTAATTTTTTTCATTTATCGAGGCATATTTTACTACAAATATGCTGAGCAAGCCAAGAAAAGTTGAAGCTGGCTAAATCTCGGCACTTTGCTCAAGGACATTGTTGTTAGGACCAAGAACATGACTTGAGGAAAAGGGCTTACAAGATACATGCACCCCCCCCCCTCCTACATTTTGTCACTTGACCTTGAATTTTTATGCATTTCACTGGGATGTTATGTGGTTGACCAACTCTAAGTAGTGCATAATTGTAAAGTAGAAGGAAAATGCCACATTAAGATAAAATTACCTGTGAAGATGACGTGTACAGTGTTATACTTCTGCAAAACACATCACTGCATATAGGCCAAAAAAAAAAAAAGTTAAGTCAGTCTCATCTGACCAGATTGTAACAAAACATAAAGTAATTTAATGAGAATTTTCTGTAGATTCAGTGAATTGCCCCCTTTAAAAAAAAAAAAAAATTATGAGTTGTATCAACTAGAATTACAATAACTTAGTGCAATACTAGCCACAATATACATTACAGTTCCTCTGCTAGCTTTTTTTGTACCAGATTTGTTCTGAAATATATTATTGGTTATTTCAGAAACTCATCACTAAAAACTGTCTCTTTGTGAAATGGAGAGACGTTACATCTGGAGAACACAGATGCCCTTTCCTGTTTTCAACTCTTTGTATTCTGATTAGTTGGCATAAATTCTTAAACTTGACACTGGAAGAAATACAATCTGTTAAGTAAAAAAAAAAAAAACAGAGTGAGCTGATTTTATTTTTTTTATTTATTTATTTATTTTAAGTTTTGTGCATGAGGCAGGTGATTTGGGCAGAAGGAGAAGTCTAGACTTCTGCTTGCGTTCACATCACATCCGGCTGCACATTGCAGGGTGTGTTTGGTCTGAAGTCACGGTTGACGTCACAAATCGAGGTCATCGTTTGCAGTTTCTTCACACTAAAAAGACACCATTAACCCTTGGTTATAGATTTTCAAAACTTTTTCTTGAGATTGCTACTTTGTATTCAGTTTGTGATTTACAACTTTTTTCTTTCTTTCTTCTTTTTTTTTTTACTATTTGTCCTCAGAGACAAACAAAACAGTTCTGCAAAACAAGTGGCTATTGTGAAGAGAGGGAGGAGCTTGACTTGTGTTGGATGTCTCGTTGCTATTGGTAGTGAGCCTGTTCGCATAACCCCTCTCCTCATTTGCTTTAAAACATTGTAATCTTGTTTTGTCTCTCCATCATCAGCTGTTGTTTATTCTACTACAGGCTATCATAGGGAAATATAAAATTTGTTTTAGTTCGCTTATGCCTTTTTAAAGATTTCAGGAACCAGTCTGTTCCCTTTTTTGACCTGATAGACACATATTTCTCCCTTTCAGTTCATAAAGCATAAAAGCTGAAAATAGTTGATTTAAAAAAAATAAAAATCCTTAAAAATAACCGCTATCTCTGTGGCGCTCTGTTCTTTACAGTAAAACGCTTCAGAGAGCCCAAACATGAAAGGAGACCCTGGAAGATTTGGTAAGTCAAGTGAGCTGATTAACGCTAATGTTTTTTTGCGAACCCTGGAACTAACTCGGCCATCTGGATTCAGGTTCCTGGACACCTCAAAGCAAGCAATCGGGATGCTCTTCATCCACTTTGCTAACGTGTATTTGTCAGACCTTACGGAGGAGGATCCCTGCTCCCTGTGGGTATTTTTCTGGCAACGCATCTCCAAAGAATTTTAAGATTTATGATTTTTACTCCTCTAACTCTGCAAGGAGGTTTCTAACATGTTTTCCCTTTGTCTTCTTTTCCAGATACCTCATTAACTTCTTGTTGGATGCCTCTCTGGGCATGTTGCTCATATATGCAGGCGTGAAGGCTGTCAGTGCTGTTGTTGAATGGAAGCAGTGGGATTCTCTGCGTTTTGGAGAATATGGTGAGGCCAACATGTGTGTTTATCAGTCTGTCAAGAGTAGAAGGCTCTTCATATACCTCTTACGTCCACTAGAGGGCAGTAGGCTCTTACATTCTCACACTAAATGTAACTTTGCAACGAGTTAATGCATCAGAAAATAAACACTGACTTGTCGCATGTTATTTTATTGTCGCATGTTATTTTTTTAATTAAATATGAATAAAATTCCTTTTTTCAATCTTTTAATTTTCTTATGGTTTGCATTCCTGTCTGTGTAGGAGAGCCAGTGCAGTGCACTGCATGGTTGGGCCAATGCATCCTCTACATCCTCATCGTGATGGTCGAGAAAGTTCTCATGATGTTGTTCCTACTTATCCCCCAGTGGAAGAAGGTAAAAAAATTCTTTTATTTTTTCCACACCTTTTCCTACATGTTAGGGTAATGTTTTTACAAGACAACAACAAACTTAATTTTATTTCATTGTGATTTTTGTGATAAACCAACACAAGGCAGTGGATTATTGTGTATTAATAAGAAAATGATGCAAGGGGTTCAACATTCTTTTGAGTTTGATTCCTCTAAATAATTTCCAGTGCAAACAATTGTCTTCAGAAATCACTTAAATGGTATTTTATTTCTGGCATATCTGGCCTGTTTATAGAGAAAGATAGCCCTGTTAACAGTTTGACATAAACCATGTTGGAGACGCAGCGAGGTGGTTCTATGCAGCATTATGACCGTGTGTTTTACTGTGTGCTTGTGTCCCAGCTGGCTCTCCTTAATCCCATAAAGAATCCTGACCTGGAGCTGGCCATTGTCATGCTCATCGTTCCATTCTTCGTCAATGTAAGTCCGCTGATGCTTGTAAAGTCACACAACCTCAGTCGGTTCATGCAGATAACACTTTGTTGTTGGGTGCATTGTTTGGTTTAGGCCCTTATGTTTTGGGTGGTTGATAATTTCCTAATGAAGAAGCACAGGACAAAAGCAAAGCTTGAGGAGAGGGAAGAGGACTCGCGTGGGAACAGCAAAGTTCGCTACAGACGAGCGCTTTCTCACGATGACTCAGAATCAGAGGTAAGACTGAAATGGGAAGTTATAACCAACCTCTTAAAAAAAAAAAAAAGTACCTCTCCTTTTCAACTTACAAGAAACCCTTCAAACGTTCAGGTTTTAGCTATCTGACTATTTTTGTTCAGTCCCTGCAGATTGTAGAAAAGTCTTTATAGATTTGGTGTGGCTGACTGTGCCATAATGTCTGGAGTTTGGATCATGCCTTGTAAGAACTTCAGATTTTGTGTATGATTTGTTTTCTTAAGTTCTTAAAGAGAGTAATTCCTCTCTGCTTTTTCACTTTATTGTAAAACAGTTTCAGTTTACAAAGTAGCACTTGCCTGAAGCAGTACAAACAAATGCCAGCTTTGTGGGTTTTTTCACTTCCTTGCCTCTCTGCTGCTGCCCTTGGAGCAAGCCTTTGAGTGCAAATGTGGGGGTTGGGTCAACCCCCACATCTGTGCCCCACACAACTGTGCTGGCACAGATGAGCTGTGAAGGAAGCTTTGCTCTGTATGTATTGTGAGGGCCAGTGGCGCAATGGATAACGCGTCTGACTACGGATCAGAAGATTCTAGGTTCGACTCCTGGCTGGCTCGATTCTATTCTTTGTTGCTATTTTTAGTAATTTACGCCTTAATCTGTACATATGTAAAATATCTGTGCCTTATAAACATTCTGTTAAAATATAGAGGTTGTAAGGCCAAATTATTTTTATCATTGTGCTGTGGTATTTGAACGGAAATTTCAAATACTTGAATATTCGAAATTTCCTTTGTTTCTGTATGTAGTCCAGCTTGCCCTCAATTGTGCTAATAGAGAGAACGAGTGAGATGCTATTCACTCAGTGATTGATTTAGGGATTTATCACTCACCTTCAGAAAGCCAATCTTCACTAGTGTTTTGTTTTAGACTGGGTGGGGGTTCAGTTCTTCTCAATGGGCCAGTGTCGCAATAGATAACGCGTCTGACTACGGATCAGAAGATTCTAGGTTCAACTCCTGGCTGGCTCGATGCTTTTTCTTTTTTCCACCATGTTATTCAGGTGGATTGTAGCACCATGTGCTTCTGAATATGAACATCTAAAAGAAAAAAATGGCTCTTTAATATTGAACTGAGTTCAAGTAACTCTTTATAGTATGATGAGGAATAGATATGTTCTTTATTTTCCCAATGTGGGGAAATTCAGCAGCAGTGGCTTTCGTTTGGGTCTTAACTACTTCTAAAAGCTGCCCAAGTGTTTAAAATAAAACACAAAGCTGTTTCTTGGCAATATGTTAATGTTTTTGGTGTCTGGAAAATGAGCAGTTTCAAAAATCTCCTGAATTTTTAGTCACATACACTGCACTGTTGCCTAGCAACCCCAGGCAAGCCTTTCCCCTCACATAGAAACCCTAACCCCGTTACCTGGCAACCAAAGCAGAGCTCCAGCATGTTTAGTCAGCTGTATGCAGCTGAAGGAATGTGAAACTGAGTAGGATTATTCTAAAAAATGTACAAAATGTATATTTAGGCATTTGAAAAAGAAACTGGCCATTTGATTTACAAGCTTATTTACAAGTTTATTGCCTCTTATAAAGATTTAGTAGTCAAGTATTACGTGATTAGTCAGTATTATGAATGTTATTGGGTTGTGCATATTTTTTATTTGTTATAAGGCTTATGAGATGAAAACATAACGACATTTTCTTGATTAATAATCAAACCCAGGGATCAGGGTTGAGGGCTCACAACCCAAACCTGTGGATTACCAGGGACAGTGAGTGTAGTGGAAGTCAGCACTGAGGTTTGATCTGGGATCTCTGAACTCAAATCAGTTTTTTACATTTTTGGTATCACCACTGTTTTATGTAAAAAAATTTACACGCTTAATGATGTCAAAGGGAAATCAAATGTTCTTATTACTCATATTATTCATGGCTCTTAAGAGTTGTTGTAGACGGTGATGGTTATAGGCAGGAAGGATCTCCTGTAGCAGTCTGTTTTACAGAAAACTTGAAGAGGCCTCTGAGTGAAGACACTCTGTTTTTCTATGACTGTCTCAAGAATAGGATGCTCAGGATTGTTAATAATTTTCTTGATTTTTGTATAAAAAAAAAAAAAGTGATTTTAATCACCAGAGCTGTCTCCAGAACAGAACCAGCACTTCTGTATCAGGTTGTCGAGCCTTTTTAGGTCATTGGTTCTGATGCTGCTGCCCCAACAGGCGACTGCAGAAGAGATGATGATCTCAACAACAGACTTCCTCAAGAAGTACAGCCTACGCTGTCTGTTGAAGACTTTGGTAGTTTTTCTGTCCTAATGGTAAACTTTGGTTATTCAGTCTCTAGCAGATGTGTTTGGGTTGGGTTGTGTCATGTTCTTTCTGAATGCCTTCTACAAGTTATAACAGGACTCTGCCACTTGGGGGCTGTCTGAAGAAATAAATCGAACACTTTTACACACATCTTGTTTCTGTTGTTGGAACAAATTCTTCAGATATGAAGAATTTGTTATATATAATATGGTCAATATATTGAAATCACATAACAAAAACAACTAGCTAGCAGCAGTGTTATTTATTTTTTACCTTTGCTGCTTTTGTTCTTAGTTTTTCTGCGTTCTTTTTTTGTGATTTAAAATTGGCTGTCAGCCCCTCTCAGCTTGCTGAAATTTATGACCAATGAACTTTTGACCTATGCATGTCATGTCCAAAGGGTTGACCTGGGTCAGCAACCTCTCTGTCCCTAAGAGACATTTTTTGCCTTGAGTCTAGACAAACAAAATGTTTTTAGAGCTTTAAAACCTTCATAAGTCAAAATGAGCGAAAATAACATTTTTGTTCTTTATTTTAAAAATCCAAATTATACAGTAAAGTTTTGTTGTTTAGGTTTAATGCATATTCTTTGCATAAACCATACCAAAAAAGTATGTAGTTTGCAACCCATTAACAAAAACAAAACACCACTAGTATCATTCCTTGCGAAACTGTTATTCATATATCCCATGGAAATGCCTAGAAAAACTGCCGAAGCTAGTCTTTTTTAAAAATTATTATTATTATTTACCTTCACATTTTTAAATATTACTTGATTCTTTAAAATCTTTGGACAAAATTATTCAAAGCCACATTCTAAGGAACTGAATGCAGCTCCAGAGCCACAGGTTGCAATGATCCCTGTTAGCGCTGTGAAAAACTGCTTAGAATCTTATCTGCACTGGTTGAGTGGTTACAATCCTTAACTTTCTAATGATGCGTTCACACCAAACGTGTTTTGAGCATCAGGTGCATCTGGTTTACATTCAAAGTCGCATTCGAAGGGCCAACACGATTCGAACCGTTTGGAGCATTTTGAGCTGGACAATAGGTCGGCAACAGAAAAGAACAGCTAGAGCGATTCTGACACACCTCCATGTAACGCATGTAAGTTCGCGTTTGGTGTGAATGCACCGCAATGGTTGCAACAAGAAACCCAGGCCGGTATATTCAGATTTGGAATTGTCTTGAAACTTTTCCAACCTACCTTTTCTTGATGTTCCTTAGATCCTTTTCTCAGCAGACGATGAGATGGACGAGTCGGATGAAGACGACGTCCGTCGACTCACCGGTCTGAAGACGGTGAAAAAGAAAAAGCTTCGAATGGGGATTCCCGTTTGAGCTTGGCCGCCTTTATGTCTAAAAGCTGTTCTCTTCTCCTCAAGTCCGCCTACATTTCTGTACCTCCGCAAAACACAACAGCTTTTGGTTCTCTTCAAAGACGACACCGTACTTGGAGTTTCCTTCCCTGATCGTTCCCAGAGGATTGGTACGCAAAAAAAATAAACGTTTTTGACTTGGGACGTCGAAACACACTTTTTTTTTTTTTTTTTTTCCTCGCAGGTTTACTTTTGGATAATTGCTGCATGTCGACTTTGCACTTTGAGAGAACTGTTGTGTTTGTAGATGGATCAGAAAAAGAACCTGTTCTAGAACAAAGTGCTAATATTTGTGTAATGGGAGACAAATGACACTAATTTCCTGACTGGACTCGTGCGTCTCGAATCATTTCAGTTGGTGGCTTCGAGAGACAGATATCCAAACTAACCAATCTGTGATATCAATTACATTTCCTTCCTTAACGTGTTCCTTACATATTTGAAGCTCTGATGCGACCTTCACTTCAGCTTCGTCTGTTTGTTGTATTGGTACCATCATGGCCTGTGGTGTATAAACCATACTTGTGAGTGAAGGTGTGGACACTCTTTCTCCCTTCCAGCACAGTAACAAACTTAATCACTGTACACCTTCTGTGTGATCTTTCTTTTGTCAAAGGGAGTTTGTTAATTCACGTGAGTCTAACAAACGAGGACTGTGAAGAGCTTTCTAGTGCCGACTCAGTCTGTCAGACATTTAATGAAGCACTCTCATTTGTTTGGGTTTGTTATCAGTTTTGTTCCTTTGTGTTTTTGAATTTTTGTTTGTTTAATATTTCGATTTGCATTTTTTGGGCCAAAAAGATGACTCTGCTTGCCTCCAAAGTGTTTTTCATTCCTGCAGAGACTTTATAGAGGAGCTACTTTTTTTGCACGTTCATAACTTCTTTTTTTCCTTTTTCTTGTCTTTGGTTTGTCCTTTGGTGTGTGGAGTTTGTTTGTACGGACTGCAGGTCAGTTCCCTCCTTTACCAATTCGTAGTCGGGTTTCTGACCCACGCCTTGCCCCTTTGTCCCTTCCAAAACCTATTACACCCACGTACTTATGCGGTTGGCGCATCAAGTAGGGTTTTGTGTGTGTGTGTGTGTTTCTTTTGTGGTTGTCAGGTATTTTTAAATATGTGAGTTTGAGGTCCTCTTGTCTTTTGATGTTGTTCACTCTGATCTTTGTTTGGGCAAATTGACAGCTTCTTACCCTCTCAACAAACTGATAAAATAGTTCTTGCACAATCTCAAAAAGTACACCGTTTTATTTCGGTATTTTCCAGACCTGGATAATAAGTACGGGGGGGAGAAAAAAGAGTGAATTTGGGGGAAACATTAGATAATTTTGAACTTTGTTCTGAATCCCTTTTTATTTTCTTTTTCCTTCCTTCCATCTTTCTTCTCCTCGTCAATCTGTGCTTTCTCTAGTTTCTGCCGTAGTCAACTTTAGTACTTGATATTTTTAAATGGAATGAAATTGAGCCTGCATTTTTCTCTTGGAAAAACATGTAGAAACGTTGAACTAAGAGCAGCCTCCTGGCATTACATATGTATCAAAGTTGCATAACCATACTTTCTCATATTGGACTAAATATATAAAGCAGAAAATTACTTAAAATCATCCGTTGCAAAAGCAGACACAAAGCGTTTGTATTGCGTGTGCGAATTAATGGCAACTTTTTTTTTTCATTTTGTTTGGGGTACAAAACTGCACAAGTACGAAATGACAAAGAAGGCGAAGTGACCTGCACCTGTTAGTACTTTTTATTTTATTTTTTTTTTACCTGCAAACGGAGCTTCAGATCTTCAAGCATGAAGCAACACCTGGCGAGCTCTGATGTTCAGAATGTGACTTACTCTGACCTCTAAACTGTAAATTATGAGTGTGGACCAGACAGCTGAGAGAAAGGTGCGCGTGTGTGTGTGTGTGTGTGTGTGTGTGTGTGTGTGTGTGGACGGTGGTGTATATATTCAAATATACCTACAGCTTCAAGCGTGCGATGAAATGACCTCTGGTTCTCATTAACAGTAAACTAAGTTACATAAACTGTGAAGACTTCTTTGCTTGTCATGTTTTCATTAATTTACTTTGGCACGAAGAGACAAATTTGAAGGCAGAAACCCCTTCGCAGCAGTCGGTGTGTCTCTGCAGCTCTTCTCATACTCCTGCGATATTTTAAACGCTTAAATCATAA